AATTACAGAACAGTCATGCTGATGATGAACTTTTGCAATCTTTGCTGTATATATTTCAAATCTTGCAGTTGCAAAAATACACTCAGACCTTCATCAAGCTCCTTTGTGTCTGTTTGTCACTCGCCGACTCCTTGTCCACCCTCTCGACGACCTTGTTCCCGTCGGACTGAACTGCCCCAGTCTGGGCTGGTCCATCGCAACACCTAGTTACAGTCATGCTGATGATGAACTTTTGCAATCTTTGCTGTATATATTTCAAATCTTGCAGTTGCAAAAATACACTCAGACCTTCATCAAGCTCCTTTGTGTCTGTTTGTCACTCGCCGACTCCTTGTCCACCCTCTCGACGACCTTGTTCCCGTCGGACTGAACTGCCCCAGTCTGGGCTGGTCCATCGCAACACCTAGTTCTCTCAACCTCCGACGAATGAAGGAGAAACCTGGCAAGGTGAGAAGAGGCAGTTTAGTGTGGACTGTGCCCAGTGTGCACCCACCCTGTCCCAGGCCAGTTGCTGTTGTCCAGGCAGCTAGGACCACACCATGCCCCTGATGGTGTCCAGGCCCATCCAGGGAAGGACAGACACCTACAGAGAGCTTGAAAACTCCATTGGACCAATCTTGCAGCACAGCAAGATCTCCCGACCCTTCCTGGATAAAGGAGTAGTCTGGCAGGGTGAGAAACAGCAGGGTGAGTGGGCCACACCTTGCGTTCACCAGAGTTCAGGCTGGGTCCTGAGATATGTGGAGCCAGGATGGATTACACCACTGGCCTCTTTGGCAGCTGTCCAGGTCCAACCTGGAAGGGCAGACAGCCTTAATGGTGCTGAATGTCCCAGGTGTGTGGGCTGCACCTAGACATGATCACCCTGGTACTGTCTTGACTTCCCTAGTCCTGGCCTCCATGAAGCCAGCCCTGGCCTTCACTGGGGAGGAGTCCCGGCTCACTCCACCACCGGACAACATCTCCCAGCCCCAGCCACCAAACGTCAGACATTCAAGCCCGGCAACCAATAGCCAGACCACAGCCTGTTGAGGGTATCTAAAGCCTTCTATAATCTGGTTTCAGACCTCGTTCTCTCCCTGAATCTCACCTGTCTCAACTGCTTCATTGGCCTGGTACATACATATCTTCCAGAGTGAGGGAAAATGCTGTCTCTGATCTCCCAGCACCTCACAGCATCCCTAAACAACTCACCCCTGCTACTCAACAATTACTGGAACCAGTTTGGCCTCCTTCAAAGTTCTTAAGTCTTTCTCCCCTAGACTAAAAATGTTGGTAAATGTGAAATGTTACTGTTCTTTCTTTTCCACTATAGTAAATACCTAACCTGAACCCTAACCCTAACACTAACCCTAACACTAACACTAACACTAACACTAACACTAACACTAACACTAACCATACTGTATTTTCTACGGGAAAGCAACCAATTACAGAAGTGACACGAATTTTTCTTAAGCAACCTGACTTACAATGATTTTTTTAGATACAAATCACAAAGAACGTTGTTAAATGAG